GGATAAGGTTATCAATCACAGTATTTATTATTTTTCCTACAGATTACAGTTCGCTTTGACTTCATTTTATAATATTAGATCTGCTGATCTGTGATGATAATTTGAGGTTTCCAATTAGTTCTTTCAAGATAAGATTTAAGTTAATCAGTATGCATCAGATTTTTTCTAATTCACCTGTCTAATATTCGCAATTTATATATATTAGATCATACAATACTATAGATATAAAATGATTCATCAAACTTATTTTTAAATTTATCTTTATGTACATATGATTATAAATATTAAATAGAAGTATTTTATCACTAATTTGATAATCTATGCTCTTATGTATTTGGTCATAATGTTTTTTTGCTTTTGTTATTGTTACAAAATATTCTGTTATGTATTCTATCGATATTGTTGTAATTGTGTTGTTAAAAGACAATGATATTATTCTATTATTTGTGACAAATTTTATGTTGTAATGGATTATGATACTTAAAAATCTATAAGTAATACAGCATGTCATCCATATAGTAACTCAAAAGGTTTATACTTGGTTATTTCTTATTATACTATATGATATGTGAATAAGACTGAGGGAAGATAGGCATCCTATTCTCCTTGATGTTGTTCAACATACTTAGCTAAAATAGTATACAAGGTCTGATTGAAATGTTTAATCAATCTATTTGTCTGTGAGTGATATAATAAAAAAAGTCAGTGTTTTATTTCAATAATATGTAATAATATAGCTATCAACTTATTTTGAAATAACGTAGCTCTATCAGTTAATATTTCCTTTAGAATCTCATGTCTACACATAATTCCTTGAAAAATAAACTATGCTGTAATTTGTATAGTATAATCAAATACAGCAATAGCTTTAGCCTATTTAGTGAGATATTCTGTAATAATAATAATATATCTGTTACCTTGCTTTATTTGTGATAGTGATCCTATATAATCAATTTCAATACAGTCAAATGGTTATTCTACTGAAATTAGATGTAAAGACTCTTGTCAGCAGGGTGTTCCTTATTACATGTCATCTATTTTCACCTATTCCTTTATTATGTTATACATTTTTAGTTAATAATATTTGTATATTAATTTGTTAAAGGTAATATCATGTCCTAGATGTTCTTCTAGAGGTTCATTATAAATGTTATGTAAAAGTGATTCAACTTTAGTTGATTTAATAATAAAAAGAGGATTTGAGAGATTTTAAAAGTTTATCAGTAAAGAAGATAATTATAAATAGTATATATTTTACTTGTTTTTGTATAGAGAGTTGTTGTATAGGTGTAGATGATTTAGGATATTTAGATTGAGTTAAATATTGATAGAGATTTTAATATAATTCTATATCCATTTTTGAATACTAGAGCCATTAGTCACACTGCTAATACTTTCACTTTCACTCTAATTAATTATAATTTAATATTTATATTAATAGGAAGGCAGTCTAGAAAGGGTATCAGCATTTTGATGTATTTTGCCTTTATAATAGCAAATATTATAAGAAAATTTCATAATTTGTATAATTTATCTTATAAATTTATGTGAGGGATCAGATTTATTAAATAACTATTATAATATAATATAGTCAATAATTAGATCGAAAGGTTAATGTAAAAGAAAAGTCCTAAAATGTTTCATAGTCCAAACAGCAGTGAAACATTCAAGTTCAGTAGATGCATAATTTTTTTCAGCATTATTAAGAGTTCAACTGACGTATGTGACTACATATTCTTTTTGCTGATCATTCAGTTGAATTAAAATAGCATTTAGTCCTATGTATGATCTGTTAGTAAATAGTAGAAACTTTTTAGAAAAGTTAGGATAATAAGAATAGGAGCTGTAATTAAACATTATTTTAAATATTCAAATGCCTGCTGTTAAGTTTTAGTCTATTGATACAGAGTTTCTTTTTTAAGTAAGAGATGTAAAAGTATAGTAATAGTTGAGAAGTTTTGTATAAATTGACATAAAGCAAGTCCTAAGAATCCACGAAGTTTAGTGATATTAAAAATATTGAAAAGTCTCTAATCTTTTCAATTTTTGAAAGGTCTGGAATAATTCTTTGTCTATTTATAATGTATTCTAAGAAAGTAAATTCAAGCTTTTCAAACTCACATTTATCTCGTTCTAATTTCAATCCAGCTTTTCTTAGTCATTGAAAAATATCTTTAAGATAAGCGAGATATTCTTCAAAAGTTATCAAAAAGATAATGATATCATCCAAATAGATAGCTATATATTATCCAATTTCTTTCCTAAAAACTTTATTTATAAGCTTTTGGAATATTGCTGACACATTAGTTAAGCCAAAAGGCATAACAATGAATTCATAAAGCCTATAACTAATAATAAATGTAATCTTTTATTGATCTTTAGGTGTCATAGCAACTTACCAATATTTGCTAGCTAGATTAAGTATTGTAAAATATTTAGCTTTGCCAAATATATCCAAAAGATTATCAATATGTGAAAGAAGATAATAGTCTCATCAAATTATACTGTTAAATTTCTGATAATCAACACAGAATCTTAACTTGCCATTTTTCTTTCTGACCAAAACTATATGAGAAGCTCAAAGACTTTCTAATGGTTGTATTAATTTATTTATCAGCATTTTATCAATTTTCTCTTTAATAAAATCTTGTTCAAAGAAGTAACTTGATATGCTCTTTGATATATTGATATATCTATTTTTAATAGTATATAATGTGTTTTGACATCAGTATGTTCTAGTTGAGATAGATCATCTACAAATAAATTATCATTTTGCTTAAGAAATGTAATTAATTGTTGCTGTTGTTTTTTTTCTAAAGATGCAGTTATTCTAGAAATCTTTGGCTTTTTTTCAGGAATATTTGAAAGCAATTGCAAGTGTTTCCACTCTTTTTAATATAATTTGCAAATATCTGTTGGTTTATCAAGTCGATTATAGCACTAACATCAATTTTCTAGCCCTTGTCAATGGTATTTTTATTTTTTATTAGTAGGAGCTTAAATATCAAACTTTTGCTTTAAATGTTTGTAATATTGAGAGGCATATCGTTGCCTTTAAATTAAGATTTGATCAGGTTTAGTTTTAGTAAGGATTGGTTGACTAATATTATCTCCTAAAACTGCATAACATCATTATGAAACTAAAATTTCTTCTTCATATATCTCATTTGTAGGATTTATTACTGATGTTAGTTGTTAAAATTGATTAAATACAGATTTTTCCCAACAAGTTTTGGAATTTGATGTATGATTCCATTCCATTTGAAAATAAAAGTACTCTTATTCCAATGTAATTATGCTTAATATTTGGTAAGCTAATCATTATCAGCTACTATATAATAGTTATTCAATTCAATGATATCAACATTTATTGGAATTTCAATGTTATTAATTTGAATTGATATATTTATTACTTGTCCTAATGGTCAAGAATGTCCGCTTTGAATATTGATTATTATAATTTGAGAAGGACCTTTTATTTTTTGTTCCAATTGTTATAAAAATGATTTAAACATTACACTTTTTGCTGATTCAGAATTTAAAATTAAATATATTGGTTTTCCATTCACATGAGTATAATAATAAATAGCTTCAATTGCTTTTGAGAGGTTTTGATTTTCTTCAGTATACTTACCCTTTGGAGATACCATTAGTAGTTTAAATGAAAATGTGGTGAATAAACAGGAGTAGAGATCATGTATATAGGTTATGGTAGTAAAGTTCTCATTGGTAGTGTATACATATTTTGATTATCAGGTATTATTAAAATGTAATATGAAAGCATAGCACATTAACCTCTATTTGTCCTAAATTTATTTTTAATTGAGCATAAATTTTTCCAATTTCTATATTATTTACAATAAAAGTAGGAGTTTTTTTATTAAGTAATGCAGTTCCTTGCAAAATTTCAAAATTGTTTGCAGTTATGATACTTATTACCATAATTACAATTATTCTTTATTACTTGATAATCTTTAGATAGGTATCCTGCTTTTTCACAATTATACCAGTTTCATCTACTACTTCCAATTGTATTATTATATAATTGATTCCTTCAGTTGTTATTAATACAATCATTGGTAAATTTAAAAGTTGCGGTAGTATTAGACAATAGATGTTTAAACTCTTTAATTAACTTTTTGTTATTTTTATTAATGAGTTGTTACATTTTGGCAGGTTGTTCTTCTTTCTTTAATCCTTTACTGTAATTTAAGTAGGCTTTGCTTAATAAATAAACTGATAAGATAGTATCATAAGATAATATAGCTTTAACTGAATGAACTCTATTAATTATTTTCTCTAAGTTACATAAAGCAGTAACTGTAAGCGCAATATAAAATTCAGGTTGTAAGTCTTATAGAAATTGTTTAATATTTTTATCTTCTAGAGTATTATATTTTGTATCTAATTTTAGGTATAAAGATTTTACTTCTACAACATATTTCTCTACAGATTGTTCAAGCTTTTGTTTGCATTAACAAAGTGCGTTCATCTATAAGTGATATAATAATGTTTGAGAAAATGATAAATAAAAGATCAATGTTTATGTTATCAATCACTATTATTATCCCAATAGTATAAATCTTTTTCAAATTTTTATTTTGTTAAATCATGTGAGAGCTAATTCTTTTATGAAGGATAGTACTAGTACCAGTCTTTTTTTATCAAAGATGCTATTAGCTTTACAAGCATAATTATATTGTTCTAACTAATTACTAGGATTTTAATCGCTTCTCTTGAATATGGAAAGGTCTACAAATCTAGCTTCTCTTGAGCCTGAAAATCCTACAGATCATAAAACACCTTGTAATCCCTTTAGCATTTGAAAGAGTTGAAGTTAATCAGGCAAATTAGCATTATTAATATTTTCAGTCATTGGATCTATTTTGTCTCTACTTTCAGAAAAACTATCATTAGATTCTGAACTAAAAGAGAAACTATTATAGTGAAAAGGTCAGTGTGATTGCCTATAATGACTTTTCTATGACTTTTTCTCTTACCTATTTTGTTTGTGTAATATTATCCATTTGTCTATTTTTACCTTTCATATCAGGAGATTTAATGTCATCATTATCTTTATTTTTAGAATTAGAAACAAGATAAGATTGATATAGTTTTCTATTTTTAGAACTAGTGCCCTAATTTTCAAATCCTACATTATTAAAGCCATAGCTATTTCTTAATCTTGTACTGCTAGTATTGTCAAAATGAGAGAGATCATTACTTTTAACATTAGGTTTATGTTCAGAATCTAAGTCACAATTAGTAATATTTAAAGTATCTTCAAAGTTTTAAGAGCTTCTTCTTTCTTTTTTAATAGAAGATTGTTTACTTACGCTTAACTAAGTAGCAGTAAAAGTTTTCATATTTGTCATTTGCACATTTTTTTAATAATAATTTTCTTCAAATCTTCAATATAAGATCTAATAGATTAATCTAATACAGTAAAAGGTAGTCGATTATAATATAAAGAGCATAAAGCTTATCAAAATATACTCATTAAAGATTAATAGATGACGTAAAATTACCTATTTAAATGCAGTTACACTTTTATTTGTATATTGTTGTGCTTTAAGATTGTTAATGACCCAATCAAAAAAAGTTTGAAAGGCTTTTGAAAGTTCAGAGAAATCAGCACTAAAGTTACAAGTGAAATAGGAGAATTTTTAGTAAGTAGTTTTGCAATCCTAATGTTACAATTGATTTTAGTGTATAGCTGATGATGAATTTCTAATACTTGAGTAGATTGTCAAATATAAAATATATTTATAAAAGTATATTAATAGTTATTTCAGTTTGCTATAATATGTAAATAGGAAAAGAGGATTCTATTATCACCAAATGTTAACATGCAATCTTTTCAGGTTGCAACTGTTAGACGCAGTATAAAAAAGTTAACTTTTTTATAATCTACATATAATTCTAATTAGTTTCATGCTAAATCTTAGTTATTTTATTATTAGTTTATCAAATTGAGTTAAATTTATTAAATGTGAGCGACTTTAATTATAAGTCAAGTGTTGTTATGGTTATTTATGAAGAGATTTATATTAGAAATAAGAAATACTTTATTAAAATAGAAAAGGAATAATAAGATAATAATATAAGAAAGAATAAGAAAATAAAAATAAGAGAATAAAAGTATATAAAGTGAAGAGTAGCGTTGTGCTATCCTTTACAAGAAAGAGGTTTCTATACAGTCTTCAATCTATCTTTTTCTAATTGATAAAGGGGTTTGTATTTATATCTATTTTATTATATATTTTAACATATCTAATATATTAACTATGTTAACTATATTAACTATATCTACTATTAACTATATTAGACATATTTGATATGTTAGACATATTAACTATATTAAACATGTTAAACATATTTAATATGTTTGATATTATTGACATTTGTATTTTGTCACACATTTGTAGATCTGTGATTGTTAAGATCAATACAATACTCATTTTTTTTTTAAAAAAAAAAAAATACAAATTTACCTTGAAATCTCAAAGTAAAATCAAAGGTAAGTTCTAAAGAATAATTTATTAATTTTTTTTATTATTTAAATCAGTTAACATTAATATTAATAATATACTACTTACCTTTGTAAACTAATCTGAATCCTTGTAACATTGAGTTAGAGATCTAACAGAATTTTTGTTAGTATTTTTTTAAAAAAACTTATATTCATTTATCTTTGTAAACCGATCTGAAATTTGTCTTAAAATTTTAGATAGGAAGTAAGTCTCTAATTGGAAAAATTTGTTAATTTCTTTTTTTTATAATCTTAAAAAAATAATACTAAACTTACCTTTGTAAAATGATCTGGATCCTTAAAATCCTAGATTAGAATCAGATTAGAGGTAAAGTTCTAATGAAGATTTAATTATAATTTTTTTTAATTATAAAAATTAAACTAATATTAAACTTACCTTTGTAGACTGATCTAAATCCTTAAGTTAGAGGTAAGCTCTAACAAAATTTTTGTTAGTATTTTTTTTTTTAATTTTTTAAAAAAAAACTAATATTTACTTATTTTTATAGATTGATCTGAAATCTATAAACCTTAGAATTTTGGATTAAAGGTAAGTTTCTAATTAGAAAAATTATTAGTTTGATAGTTGATAAAGGGAATATTTTTTTTGTTATAGGAATGATATTAATATTTTATTCCTTTTTTTTATAGATTAGATATCAGAGCTTCTGGAAAATTTTATTAAATTTTTATATATTTATCTTACAAGTTATGTAATATTTTAATAAATAGATTATTTTTTATATCTTTTGCATCTAACTATATATAAATATTTATTTTATTTAAACAAAAAAAATAATGTTTATATTGTTTATTTTTATTAAATATATATATTATATTTACAGTATGTGTACATACTTAATTCAGTATATTACTAGAATAATTAAAATAAATTAAATTAAAAATTTAATAAACTATCTTTTTACAATAATAAATAATATCAAAAATATATATTAATCTTGTTAATTATATAAAATCTTTAATTAATTTATTTATATCATAATCATCATTATCATCTTTATCATCATCAATTTTATTATATTTTTTGAATCTAGAAATATTTACATGATCGATAATAATAATTGGTTCAAAATTAAATTATTTTACTATTTTTAATTCTTTTTTTATATCTATATTTACCGCTCCTTCTTGTGCTCTTAAACTTAATAAAATACTTGTTTTATTATCTTCTTCAACTATTTCTTCATAACTTTTACTTAAAAATATTTCAACCATTTTGATAATTTCTTTTTTTTTTGTTAATTCATTGTTATATTTTAATTCATTTTTTATATTTCCTATATAATATTGATATATTTTTATTGTTAATTCTATCATAGTAATAAATAATTGAATGTGTCTTTTTCCATAAATTTATCCTACAGAAGACCTATAAAATAGAATATTAAATAATTAATATAATAAAATTTTAATTTAATTTAATAATGAAGTAAATAAATTACTATATCATATTCTTTCACAACTTCTGCATATAGACTTATTGAAAATAATCAAATTGCAAAATTTTGCAATTAATTCTTTGTAGAAAAATATGTGTTCCACTATTTTAATAGATTATCTTCTCCATGAAGATAAGGTACATTAAATTGCACTTTATTTAATTTGTAGTTTCTTAATTGACTAATCAATTTACTATAATTTTTTTTTTATATCCCATTACCTTATAAATATTATTAGCTTTTATTAAAATTTCTGATATACAATTATTAGGAATACTCAATCCTAGATTAATATAATTAATATTAAATATTATAATTAAAATTATTAATTAATTAATAAATAAAATAAAAAATATATAAACCTTTAAAATACAAATAAAAAAAAATGCAAATTAAATAAATATCATCATTATAATTATTAAATCTAATAATTATATAAAATAATTATTATTAATTATTATTATAAAATATAAATTAACAATTGCTTTAAAAATTTATCTTTTATTATATTTTTTTATACAATAATTTTTAAATATATTATAATCAAAATTTGACAAATTTTGATATAAAATACCAATTCTTAATAATTTTATAAAACAATCTGCTAAATTGGTATTTTTTCATTCTAAAAATAATATTGTTTGTTTAATTAAAAGTAATATACTGGTAAGCTCTTCAACATTGTTAAAAAAATCTCTCTTATTAATAATTGATTTTACAGCTTCACTTGTTATTTTATCACGATGTTTTCATAAATCTATTTTAAATTAAATATTAAAATTATTAAAATTTTAAAATTACAAAAATATTTATTTTTTCAATAAAATAATTTTTAAATCATAAAATTAATGCTGTACATTTAGTAATAGTAATCCATTTAGTTTTAACATATATTTTTAACCCTCTTTCTAAATTTCATTTTTTAAAATTAATTTTTTAAGTAAATTATCACATTAATATGATTTTTTAAAATAACTGACTAAAATATTACAATATTTTATAATTTTGCTACAAAATCATATTATAAATATTATGTGAAATAAGATTTATATAGTATGTAATATATTGAACATTAAAGATTTTGGAAAATTGTGTTAAAATTAGCTGTTGTGTTAATAAAATATTAGACTTATTATCAGTTACTATTGTATAAAATTTGCTAATTCTTATCTTATTAAAAATTTTAAGGATCTCCTCTACAATTAATTCTTCAGTATATGATACTCTAACAAATCTTTAATTTGAAATAAATACTCTTCTCAAATTGATGTAAGAATTACAAAATTCCATAAAGATCATCCTGTAAGTGATATCTATCTATCTAACGCTATAATTTAAATTTATTAAAATTTTAATTATTTGTTTATTACAATTATCTTAACTACTGTTTTTATAATTAACATTTTTTTAATTTAAATATTATTATTTTCTTTTATTTATTTAAAATAATTATAATATATAATTACATATTTACCTAATATTAAATTATTTGTAATTTCTAAACTTTTTCAACTTTTAGATTAATTCTTATTAATTCTTATTCAAGAAGTTCTATTGCAAGTTTTTTTCTTGATAGTATAATGTAATTTTCACATAAAATTTTTAATAAATCCATAAAAAAGGATTTTTAATTATAGTAAATACTATATTACAATAAATAAATACTTTAATTAATATGCTATCTATTATTTTTTATTTACTATTTATTATTTTACTATTATCATAATATTGATATATATTTGTTTATTTTAAATCAACCTTTATACGTTTACTATCATTTTAATATTTCTTCATTATCTAAAATAATTGTTTCATTTGTAATTTCTTTTGCAAATATATGTGCTATATTTTTAAGATATTTATCATAATGGGAAGCTAAATGCTAACACATTTTTTATAATCTACTTTCAGTCCATTCATATTAATAATATATACAAGTAGCTTTATAATGATTACGAGATATTTTTATTCCTTTAATTACAGTCAGGGATTTTACCAAATATAGAATTTCTAAATACAGTGTTGATTGACAAATGATTGACATTCTAGAAGTTCATAAAAATTCGCTGATCATTCTAAAATTATAAATGATTGATAAACTGAAATATATTAAATATATTAACCATGACCGGTGGCTTATATTTTTTTAATTTCTTTATTTTTATTATTTTTAGCAGAGATGCAAGACCTTTTTACGTAATATGCTGAATGATTACATAATCAATTGACCGTGACTGTTAT